TCCCACCTGTGTAAAGCCCAGTATATTCCCACCTGTGTAAAGCCCAGTATATTCCCACCTGTGTAAAGCCCAGTATATTCCCACCTGTGTAAAGCCCAGCTTGGTGAGGGGCGGCCTCCACTCTCCCAGGCTCACACAGCCGTCTCTGTCCGCGTCATAGTGGGAGAACAGGTCGTCTTCTACCTCACACGGCTCGATCTGGGGGAACACGGGCGGTGGATGGGGGGAGGTGGATGGATGGATGGGTGGATGGGTGGATGGATGGATGGATGGGTGGATGGATGGATGGATGGATGGATGGATGGATGGATGGATGGATGGTTTGTACAAAAAGACAATCCCAACGTCATGAGCAATACGTGTCGTCGATGAAAACGTATTGCTCCTGACGTTGGGATTGTCTTTTTGTTGGTGTCTGTGATTTGTCTCTGACTGTAAAAAAGCTGTAGAGAACACCTCAAGTTAAAATTGTTTAAAGAACAAAACTATTCTTTTCTGTCGCCAGAAAAAAAATTATTATTTTTGGTTCATTTGAACAGTTTGACAACGATACGCAACTCCCACAGACAGTAGCGTTGCGACAAAATGTCGCCCTCTGTCTCTGGGGGGGAAAAGCCACAAGAATAGCTGTATAGATATCAGATTCATGGAGAACGTTGTGACGACATTGTGACCTGTTGTGGCGACATTTTTGGGACTCCTGACGACATTGTGAGAAATTGGGAAGAGATAGTGAAGAGTTGTGACCAATTTGTGAAAAAGTTTTGACTTCTTTGTGAAGAGTTGAGACGAAATTGAGAAAATCTGTGAGGAGACTGTGAGGAGACTGTGAGGAGACTGTGTGAAGTGACGATGATAGGTAGATTGTTGTAAGGAGACTGTGATATGTACGGAAAACTGAACGAGATCAAAGTCATCTCCACATTTCACTCAGGTAAAAAAAAAAGTCATCTCGTGATTTCATTCAAGTCCAAAAAAAAGTTATCTCCACATCTCATTCACGTGAGAAAAATGATGTGTACATCCACGTCTGGCTCGTGAGATAAAACATCACCTCTACTTTTGACTCACGAAGTGATACATCACCCCCACATCTGACTCATGAGATAAAACATCACCTCTACTTTTGACTCACGAGGTGATACATCACCCCCACGTCTGACTCATGAGATAAAACACCACCTCTACTTTTGACTCACGAGGTGATACATCACCCCCACGTCTGACTCATGAGATTAAACACCACCTCTACTTTTGACTCACGAGGTGATACATCACCCCCACGTCTGACTCATGAGATAAAACATCACCTCTACTTTTGACTCACGAGGTGATGCATCACCCCCACGTCTGGCTCATGGAATCACCCCCACGTCTGGCTCATGGAATCACCCCCACGTCTGGCTCATGGAATCACCCCCACGTCTGACTCATGGAATCACCCCCCACGTCTGACTCATGGAATCACCCCCACGTCTGACTCATGGAATCACCCCCACGTCTGACTCATGGAATCACCCCCACGTCTGACTCATGGAATCACCTCCACACTTGACTCACGAGGTGATACATCACCCCCACGTCTGACTCATGGAATCACCCCCACGTCTGACTCCTGGAATCACCCCCACGTCTGACTCACGAGGTGATACATCACCCCCACGTGTGACTCACCACGCCGTTTTGATTACCGTCAATCCCCTTCACCAGTTTGACGATCCGCGAGGTGAGAGAGTTGCCGTCAGTCTCCGGGACTGCCTGACCCACCACCATCAGAGGCACACCCACACACAGTGTGGCCAGGAACAGGGGAAATGACGTCATTGTGCTGAGACTTTCTGCGGAGAAATCAGAATGACGTACATACATGTTGTACATGTACAGGCTGTCTATAGGAGGGACGCATTCAAGGGAAATAACTCGGTCATCTTTGTACTAGTGCCAACAAAACTTTGAACAAATAGTATTCACCTAAGAAGTCTTTTTTTTTTTTTTGAAGAAACTCGACTCATGCCTTAGAGAAATACATGTATTAAGGTCCTTTAAAAAAATGAATTTCATTTTTTTTTAATGAGTAAAACACAAAACTTTACAACAGCAACCTCAGTGTGTATTTGTTGTAGGCCGACTTTAAAGGACACATGTACAATGTTGGAAACTGACACTGCCTCAGAAATATAGGGTGAGTCAGAACTGGTGTTATGTAAATGATACATAGGGTGAGTCAGAACTGGGATTATGTAAATGATACATAGGAAAGGTCAGAGCTGGGATTATGTAAATGATACATAGGAAGGGTCAGAGCTGGGATTATGTAAATGAAACATATAAAGGAGGGTTAGAACTGGGATTATGTTAATGAAAAGCTCCAGAAGCTATCCCTTTCCCTCCAACAACTTCAAATACAGCACTTGAAATGTCGAGATTCCCTGCGTCCCTTAGGGCTTAGGGGTTAAGGGTTAGGGGTTAGGGGTTTAGGGGTTAGGGTTTAGGGGTTAGGGTTTAGGGGTTAGGGTTTAGGGGTTAGGGGTTAGGGTTTAGGGTTTAGAGTTTAGGGGTTAGGGGTTAGGGATTAGGGATTAGGGGTAAGGGTTTATGCTTAGGGGTTAGGGGTTGGTACTGCCACTGTTGTTGCAAGGATTCGAATTTTATTACGTATACTTTAACATTAAAAATGAACACAATTGTTAATGTTATGGGGTTTGTACATTTGCATACGCCTTGCCAAACCTCTCAAGCTTCCGTCCAGTTGACCGTACGTCAGTGAGTGGCACTGCCCGGGGGGGTGACTCTACTTTACAATATAATCATAGGCGCTTGTTGATAAAACACAATGTTCCCAATACTCTGGTTATCTTTTCACTCACTGGTCTTATTTCTGCACGTCTAGATGCTTTTATTTTAATCTCTAAAGGTAGGTCATTAGTTTTTCTTCATCTAATCCTCCAAGTTCGAGTGGCTGAGAGAAAAAATGTTTTAATTATTTTGAGAGTGTGAATGGAAGGACAGTGTTTTGTAAACACAAAGGTCTGAACGAGATGAGCTCACTGAAATAATAGCATGTGGTACGACGTGGTGGAATCACACGCTCGTCAGTGTTTGGGTATTTGGAGCTGTTGGTATCATCTGAAAACTGTTTTATTTGTCTTGCTTCTAATGAAATAAATATCCATCTATCTTGATTAGAAGTCAAAATATTTTTGATTGAACAAAATGAGGTTGCCTGGTTTCAGTGGTGAAATTATCGAGAAAATGGCTGCCAGAGTTCGGTAACTCCAATAGCTAAAGAGTCCTTCTAAACTGAAAAATGACATATTTTGTGTCTTTAATCAATGTTTTTCTGTAAACTTCACACGAGGGCATGATTCCACCATGCTGCCTCACAAATTTTCTTCTTAGCCATTTGTCAAAAGTCTGTTTCTTCTTTTTCTAATGCT